TCCTTCTTTTTAAGGAATGTGAAGTAATTTTGTTGTATAATGAAACTGTTCATGCTGGGTCTTGTTAATAAAGGCAAATAAATATATAAATAAATACATAAATAAATAAACAAATATAGAACACACAGCAAACAGTATGTTAAGCACATTAATTTGGAGAATTGGTCTCCTTAACTTTTTGTTTACCATGTAAAAATACCATTTAAATAATAGACTAAGGAATATCTACTTTTCCTTCTTTATTAGTTAATAAGAAGCTTCCAAACATGTTTTTTCTGTTTACAAATTCTTGAGCATTACATGGAAAACTTAAGGTGAGACTATGTTATGTTTATGGGGTCAGTGTAGTTTATAGATTGGATATTCATTCATTCATTCATTCATTCATTCATTCATTCATTTTCATCCACTTTTCCGGGGCCGGGTTGTGTTCTTATTAGAAAACCCCAGACTTCCCTCTCCCTAGACACTTACTCCAGCTCCTCCGGGGCAATCCCAAGGCGTTCCCAGGCCAGTCGAGAGACATGGTCTCTCCAACTTGTCCTGGGTTTTCCTCGTGGCCTCCTCCCCATGGGACATGACTAAAATACCTTCCTAGGCATCCAGAAGGCATCCGAAACAGATCCCTGAGCCACCTCAGCTGACTCCTCTCGATGTGGAGGAGCAATGGCTGTACTCCGAGCTCCTCCGGGGTGACAGAGCTGTCTATAAGGGTGCGACTTGCCACCCTGCCAAGAAAACTCATTTCAGCTGATTGTATTCGAGATCTTGACCCAAAGCTCATGACCATAGGTGAGAGTAGGAACGTAGATTGACCGGTAAATCGAGAGCTTTGCCTTTTGGCTCAGCTTCTTCTTTACCTTAACAAACCGATACATTGACTGCATTACTGCTGCCGCTGCACCAATCTGCCTGCTGTCAATCTCACATCCATCCTTCCCTCACTCGTGAACAACACCCCAAGATACTTGAACTCCTCCACCTGGTGTAAGGACTTTCCTCCCACCAAGAAATGGCAAACCACCTTTTTCTGGAGGAGCACCATGGCCTCAGACTTTGAGGTGCTGATTCTCATCCCAGCCGCATCACACTCGGCAGCAAACTGCGCTATAGTGCATGCTGAAGGTCCATGTTTGATAAAGCCAACAGAACAACATCATCTGCGAATAACAGAGATGAAATCCTTTGGTCGCCGAACCAGACCCCCTCCAACCCAAGGCTGCGCTTTGAAATTTCGTCCATAAAAATTATAAACAGAACTGGTGACAAAGAGAAGCCCAACAAGTCAGCACTGGAAACAAATCTGACTTATTGCTGGCAATACAAACCAAACTCTTACTCTGGTCGTACAGGGATGAGACAGCCGTTAATAGAGCACCTCTCACCCCATACTCCCAGAGCACCTTCCACAGAATGCCACGAGGGAGACGGTCGAATGCATGTAGACTGGTTGGGCATATTCCCATGAACCCTCGAGCACCCTTGTTAGGATATAGAGCTGGTCCAGTGCACCACGGCCTGGACTGATTAGATATATTCATTTACTTTAATTAGATTGGATATATTTATTTAAAACTAGTTGAAATCATTTTCAAAGACAAGTTTTTTTTATAAAATTAAGCAGACATCTTAAGCATCTTTGAATATATTCACATTTTTATTCAATACAATCCATTTTCATTACAATCCATTCCACACATTCATCCATTGTAAAATTAAAAACAGGCTCGATCTGCATCGCACAACTAACCTCAGAAATTCTCATCATCAACAACAAAAGTCAGACATACTGTCAAGTATTTGATGACAAATTTCTACCTTCAGAAAAACACATCACAACAGTTAAAAACTGGATTAAACAGGACTAAAAAATCCCTATATTACTATGCAATCCATGGACAAAAACCTCAAAATATGAAATTAAAATTACAAAATTAAATAAGAAAATGAACTATAATTTGATGAACCAACAATTCTTTTTCAACAAGTCCATCTCTTTTGTTTGATCTTTATGTTACTTTATTGCACAAATAAAACTTCTCATCCTAGATCTTAATAAAGAAAGTTAAGGGAGAACAATAATGCCTAGTGTCACCATTAAAGAGCAGGAAAAGGCCATAATTCTGTTATTTAAAAAAAGGTTGCAAAATGTGAGCTGTGGCCACACGATATCACTATCAGTAAGGAATATCCTAAACACCTATTAACCTGCAATGTAAGGATAGACTTTGTTTAGTCAATTTATTACGAAATGTACACCAGACAGACACTTCTAAAATGAAAGTGAACGCTTTCATTTTGAGTGTGAATTCCTAAAAGTGAACTGAGGTATCACAGAGCATTTTAAATTATTTTAAGGGATAACAAATGTTATGGAATTTGTTATGAAAGTCTGGGTTTGTGGTAAATTTAACTGTACTGCAAATCAGTTCATTAAACTTGCAATTCAACATCCCATGGTAATTCAGTGAACTGAATTCTGAATGAGAATTGTTGTAATGCCTGTGCTTTTTGTCATATTAGCACCTGTAAAACTATTTCAACGTGTTAAATCAAAGCCATAAATGAGACTGCAATGGAAACACTGGAGACTTTAAAAGGGAAGTTGATCCAAAAATTAAATATATATCGTCAACGCAATCTCACGCAGTTTGTAACTGTTTTATTTAGTGGCATATTCATTCATATGAATTAGTATGATCGCATTTATACATTTTAGTACAATTTGCTCATCCATGTTTAGGGGTGGGGTTGGGTGCCAGGCCTCCTTTTTAAAATCCTACATTTTCGTACAACTGTACTAGTACAAATTCGTAAGAATTAGCCACTAATCTAAAAAAACGTAAAATACTTACATTTCCTTGTGATATCAGGCTGATGAAATTGTATGAATTAGCCACTTTTCTGACAATATGGTAATTTATTCATTTTCTTTTCGGCTTAGTCCCTTTATTAATCTGGGGTCACAAAGCGGAATGAACCTCCACTGACAATATATAATATAGTTAAATTCGGTCTGATTATATATATATATATATATATATATATATATATATATATATATATATATATATATATATATACAACAGTTCTGTCTGGTTCTCGAATCTGATTGGCTGATTGCCGTGATATATTTAAGTAATATCAGCACCAGTACAGCCTCTTTACCCTTTATGTATTACTCCGCCCACATACAGCCAGCAAAAAACAGATACTACAGATCTAAGGTTTAAAAGATGCACGCTCAACTATTTAACTGTCAGCTTATGATTTGAATCCAAGGCAGAGGAAAGTAAATTCTCATACAAAAGGAGTTTTTGAGACTCTCCATGTTTGATTTTGTTTTTATATACACAGTTATGCCGTCAAATTGTTGTATAAACGTAATATCACACTCGTAGCAGCGCGATATGGCTGTATATCGGCACTAAGGCACGAGGCCGCAACGAACGCCTCTCACCAGTGCCGATATACAGCCATATTGCACTGCTACTCGTGTGATATTGCTCATATATATATATAGTTGAAGAAGAATTATTAGCCCCCCTATTAATATTTTCTCTTTTTTAAATATTTCCTAAATGAAGTGCAACAGAGCAAAGACATTTTCCCAGTATGTCTGATAATATTTTTTCTTCTGGAGAAAGTCTTATTTCTTTTATTTTGGCTAGAAAAAAGCAGTTTCAAATATTATTTACTGTCATCATGGCAAAGATAAAATAAATCAGTTATTAGAAATGAGCTATTAAAACTATTATGTGTAGAAATGTGTTGAGAAAATCTTCTCTACTTCTCTCTCGCTAATAATTCAGGTGGGCTAATAATTATACATATAGTCAACGCAATCTCATGCTGTTTGTATGTAAATGTTTAATTTAGTGGCATTTTCATTTACATGAGTTTGTATGATCGCATTCATACACTTCAGTATGATTTGCTCATCCCCCAATGAAGGGTAGGTTTAAGGGTGTGACTTAATAAAAAAAAATTTCATATGAATGAAAATCAACACTATCTTACAGCAATTTGTAACTTTTTGATTTAGTGGCTAATTTGTATGAATTCGTACAATCTCATTCATACAATTTAGTACAATTTGCTCATCCGCCAATGATGGTTGGGTTTAGGAGCGGGGTTAGGTGCCTCAACTCCTTTTTAAAATCATATATTATCATACAACTGCGCTAGTACAAATTCGTTCGAATTAGCCAATAATCTGACAAAAGACTCTGTGGGACCAGGCTGATGAAATCTGGATTTGTATGAATTAGCCACTTTTCTGACAATATGTAATACAATTACATTTCCTCATGAGATTGAGCTGATATACTATACAGTTGAAGTCAGAATTATTAGCCCCCCTGAATTATTAGCCCTCCTTTTTATTTTTCCCCGTTTTCTGTTTAACAGAGAGAAGATTTTTTCAACACATTTCTAATCATAATAGTTTTAATAACTTTTCTCTAATAACTGATTTATTTTATCTTTGCCATGTTGACTAGATTTTTTTATCAACACACTTCTATACAGCTTAAAGTGACATTTAAAGGCTTAACTAGGTTAATTGGGTTAACTAGGCAGGTTAGGGTAATTAGCCAAGGTATAATGATGTTTTTTTCTGTAGATTGGAAACAAAAATGAGCTTAAGTGGGCTAATAATTGTGTCCTTAAAATGGGTTTTAAAAAATTTTAAAATTTAAAAAATTTTAAAAATAAGACTTTCTCCAGAAGAAAAAATTATATCAGACATACTGTGAAAATTTCCTTGCTCTGTTGAACATCATTTAGGAAATATTTTTTAAAAGAGACAAAAATTCAAAGAAGGGCTAATAACTCTGACTTCAACTGTATGCCAACGCAATTCGACACAATTTGTAACTCCTTGATTTAATGGCCTATTCATATCATAGTGGCTTATTCATATCAAATAAGCCAATTTTTCTATAATATGTAATATAGTTATATTTCCTCATGAGATCGGGCTGATATATTCACCCTCATTTTTACACATTTATTGGAAAAAGTTCAAAACCACTCAAGTAAAAAAAAAAACATATCGTCGTCAATTTTGAGAATGTAACTGAAGTCCATTTTTGAACTTTAGGATATTTACCAAACTTGCCAGAGTCGCCATTCACTTTCATCATCAGGAAAAGAACCGCTTAAACATGTTCTATAAATATCACCATTTGTATCCTACAATAATATAGTGATGGGGAAGTGATGACAGAATTTTAAACTTGTCCCTTTAACAGTATTGATGCAGCCATTTAGTGTTCAATCGTGACTCAAACCATTTGCTTGCGTGACGTCTTGCGGTTTGAAGTTTTTCAGCTGTTCCATGAACCCTGGATTTGGACACGAGGCGGGTCGAGCTGATTTCACCAGGGCAAACGTGTCACCAAATCCTTGATTTTCCTTTAACATCAGATATCCGATGACAACCGAGACAGAGCGTGAAACTCCAGAATTGCAGTGCACCAGCACAACTCCTTTCTGGAGAGAGAAAGAGATTCATTCGGTCAGAGAGCAAAACCGAATCCCTCTAAGGAGGCATTTTATTTCACATCATTACATACTCTGTTATAAAAGCATGTAATTAATCCTATCGCTAATTGCAAGGAATTACTAAATTGCAAGTTACGGCTGAGAGAACCACTTTCCGCCGACTTGAGAAGAACGTTATTTGATTAGCTGAGCTGTTGTTTCCCTTTGCATCATAGACGAGATAGTAAATTACGTGACAGAAGGCGCTACGCTCGTTTTACAAAGGAATGGAAACTTATTTCCAGCAGCCATTGTAATCATAAACCTTAGTGAATTCCTATCATGGGGCAGTGTCAGGTTAAGGGTGACTGGCGACACTATTTAGTAAAGAGGTTGTATGACAAACAACGGGCCGTTAGTGATATGATCTTTCTACAACTCGTTAAATAATGCATCGTGAAAACTCGCCATCCATTATTCAACACGCCACACAGTTACCTAGAGTAAAGGAGCTCGCCATTGGATGACCGCTCGGTGTCACATAGGCCAGGCAGTAAAGCCCAACACAATGAAATATCCATCTTATAATGCTGTCAGACATCTAAACATTCATGTTGAATTAAAGGGACTTTAAAGTTGACCTAAAACTCAAAATCATTTATTCATTCTTTGTATTGTAGGATACACAGAAAAAAAATCAAGGGATCCACACCATTCCTTCCTGTTGCCCCAACACAAATCAATTGTTGACTTGTATGTTTTGACAAATTTAATTGGAGTGAACATAAAGCAATGAAGTGCAGGGCCGGAGCAAGCTGAACTACCGCTCTAGGCAAAGGACGGTTATGCCGACTCCAATTAAATTTGTCAACTCTAAAGTAAAACCGGAGGGGGGGGGGGGGGGGGGGGGGGGGGGTCGAGGGAGCTATTATGGACGCCCTCTCTATTTTGCCGCCCTAGACGCGGATATAACTGAGGGCACGGGTGGTGAGGGTAGTGTCACGGACGCCGCCCTAGACGCGGATATAACTGAGGGCAGGAGAGGTGAGGGTTGTGTCTGGGACGCCGCCCTCTGTATTCTGCTGCCCTAGGCGGCTGCCAAGGTCGCCTCTATGGACGCGCCTGCCCTGATTAAAGGGCACATATTTTACCCCTTTTTTATCATTTAATATTAATATTATGGCTAATATTATGGTTCTTCTGAGTGTGCCAGTTTAGGTTCAGTTTAACACACAGTTCAGATGTTTTTATTATAATGCGTTCAAAAGTGTCATGTTGTGGGCGTGTACACAGCTCGCTGTTTTAGGGGCGTGTTGCTTCAAATGAAAATTAGTTTTGGCTTCTTGCCCAACGTAACAACGTAGCTCCCACGCTCTGTGTTTGCAACAGACAGGCAGACAGAGAGAGCTAAGCTAGGATCAGCATTCAGCCATACATGTACGCCTCGGACACAGACCAAGTAGAGAGTACAAAATCATTTGTGTCTGTATAGTTTTACAGCCAACTGTATGACTAATAACCACAAACACAGAACTAACTTTGACTGAGGCACCGGATGTGCTGCTCGAAGCTGCGACACGGCACACCGCATGTCTTTGGACTGTGGGGGAAACCGGAGCACCCAGAGGAAACCCACGTGAACGCAGGGAGAACATGCCCAACATACTGCTGCATGTTTTATTTATAATTAATTATTTTCTATGTTGAATGCTTGTATTTTCTATATTGCATATAGACATTCATGTTACGGTTGTTTATTCCCCCAAAACGCTAGTAAAGACATGGATTATTGCAAAACAAGACAGATATTTCATTGCAGCAATTATTTGTTATTTAAAATTCTCCTCCATTTTGTATAAGTGTGGTGGTGTTTGTATCTGATTTTTATATAACACATTATACACATAGCTAGGCCTGTGTAAAAACTCTACTGGTGCTGCCAAACGAATTTGCGTTTTAAAAAGTTTGTACTCAAGGATATATTGAATAAATGTTTATTACATGCTGCCTTATCTTCCGTTTTTTCAGCCACTTTCTTGAACTTTATCCCCTTTATCAGCTAAAATGTGCAGAAGTCTACAAAAGCTGTTCGGCATTTCTTATTTTAACCGATTTAAACAATTATAAACAACATAAAACCGAAACATTTTGATGTTCTGATAGCGATTCCTATGTAGAAGAATCACTTCCTGCCCTCTATCTGAATTTCACTTGTCATCAATGATGCCATGTAAAAGCAACCTATAAGGAAATGTGTTTAGGTTTCACCACTTGAAGGTAACTATACCCACATAGCAAAATTTCTCTGGCCCAGCTCTGGCCCACACAATCAGGTTTTGCTTGGCCCACATGCCGCAGTGAATTACGGTACATGACTGGACCAAATCTGGCTTCCAGACAAGGGCCAAACACAGACCATATCTGGGCCAAGTCTCAGCCAAGTTAATAACTCATAACTGGGCCTGAACTGGGCCAGATAGGTTGGTGTGTCACGATTGCAATGAAATTGATAAACCCATGGAGTGATGCGCTTTAGGCACACTTTGGGTACGCTTTTTCTCAAAGTGACCTGATTGGTAGAATTTTCTTTCTTTACTCAAAAATGATTTTAGTGTATTTTAAATGTGGGTCAAGACTGGCCAAACTCACATGGCCCACTTATCAAATTTTTAAATCTGGGCCAAATACTACGTTTTTCATCTGGCCCAAATCTTGTGTGCCGCCTTAAAAACGGTGCCACCTCTGCCAAACCCGGGCCATGTTTGGCCCACATGCTGTATGCCAGTGCCAGATGAATGCCTGCTGTGCCAGCTTTTTGCCAAATCTGGGCCAGAATTCTTTGCTACAAGGGTAGTGAGAACATTTTCATTTTTGTGTGAACTAACCCTTTAAGCACAATGCAAGTATTTCGACAAAAACAAATGCATTCGAATGCTTCCACACCACCTTGATTTAACATGATGTTAAACACTCATCTTTTTAAGATTGCATTTTTAGATTCTTAATCATTCTAATGTATTTAATATTAATTATTTTTCTAAGTTGAATGCTGGTATTTTTCGCATGTTTGATTTTCTATGTTGTTGTAGCACTTTGGGATTTAGAAATGCTCATTATATTCATTCCTTCATTTTATTTTCAGCTTAGTCTCTTTATTAATCAGGGGTCGCCACAGCAGAATGAACCGCCAACTTATCCAAAATATGTTTTATACAGTGGATGCCCTTCCAGCTGCAAACCATCACTGTGAAAACACTCATTCACAGACAAGGGCGTAGAATTGGCATGGACGGAAGGTACGTGTCCCCACCAATATCCACCAATTACTGAAATGTCCCTATACCAAAAATTTAATCGACTTCAAAATAAAATAATGCTTCATCAGCTCTTAGTGAACTAAACATGCACAAAGTCAAGTTTGCTATGAGTTCACCGTAATACTACAAACCAACTGTGTGCAATTAATTGAAATTTTGATTCGATCAAAGTTTTAATTTAGGCCTCCATGATTATAAGACACAATAATCGGGATAAAACAGTTAAATAGCGTCACACATCTCTCTAAATTTCTCTACATTCATAGCTCCTCAAAGCCTGACTGCAGTAAAATCATGTAAATTGACTTTTGCAGCATGGAACATGATTGTTATTTGTATTTTTAAGTGTTTATTCGTGTTTTTAAAAGCACAAAACAGAATTTGTGCAGATCAGTGCAGCTCTAGGGATGTATGTCCCCAACAATGTCAAGAGCAAATCTACGCCCTTGTTCACACACATACACTAGGGACAATTGACTTTACTCAATTCACCTATAGCACATGTCTTTGGACTTATGTGGAAAACCGGAGGACTCACAGGAAACCCACACAAACACTAGGAGAACATACGAACTCCACACAGAAATGCCAACTGACCCAGCCGAGGCTCGAACCAGCAACCTTCTTACTGTGAGGCGATCGTGCTACCCACTGCGCCACCGTGACACTCCCCATTATAAATAAAATGTAATATATTATGATTATTTATTTGTGCAAAAAACTAAATAATAGAAATGGCATAATAGTAAATATTTAATTATGACAGTCAATGTAAATATTACCTCATTTTTCGCCTGGTCTATGAACTGTGCACACTCCTTGATATGTGATATGATATCAGTGTCAGGTTGATCCAGTATGCTCAATGTCTTATAGATGAACAAGTCAGGAAAGGCATTTTCCACACCATATGCAACATTTAATATATGTGTAACCTGAAACCAATGGAAACACATGATCAGACGTAAGACAAGGCTACTTTATTATGAAATATGATGTCAATAAAGTTGTCAGAAATCAGAAAGGTGTCACATTACTGTACCTTATATTTCCTCAAAGTAGCAAAGTCGTGAGCAGCATCTTGTGACCCTGTGACATAAATAAAATGATTAATATTTAAATATTTTTAGAACATACAAAAATATATACAACATTTTATTATAGTTTTATCATTATAATAACAATGTTTCTTTAGATATGACTTTAAAAATTGTTTTGAGCATACAGTAAATACAGTTTTAAAAATACAGACTTTTCTAATAATTTAATGCTAAAATTATGAACGTATAACAATATTCAGAAAAGATACAATATAAATCTGCAAGTAAATACATATTAAACGACTATTAAATAGCTAGTAATCCACTAAAATGCTTATTTCAAACCGAATTGAGGCATATAATTTTCACTCAAGAACATCAACAATACTCACCAAGAAGTAGATATGGTTTAACATATCCAACCTGGAGATCCCAGTTATTATCCTGAACATATCCACATGGAGTTTCAGGCTGTACTGTCTCTTCAACCACCTGCACTATGGAGCCTTTCCATGTCTCAATAATCCTCCTGCCGCTTAAAGTCGTCACTCTCGTGCATTGTTTCCTCAAATTAGTTTTGGAGAAGGATTTTATTTCTTGAGCGAGCGACTGCATCACATTTGCGGCCGGGATGTCCAAGGCAGAAAAGTAAAGGCTCCTGAATGTGGTTTTTGTGCTGTGATCGTTCGTTGCTCCCTCACTAGTCGGCTAATGTCCGTCTACATTTCTGTGACCTTGATACTACCTGAAAACTGAGAGGATTCATTAGCGCACCTCAGCATAATTACCTGCACGGTGATGATCAAAACAACAGGGACACCTAAAGGAGACTGATATAACTGCACTGCATATATACTATACTACCTTTTTTTGTATAACACAATTACAATAAGGCCAAATTCAAATAACAACTTTCATCTACATTTATAGAACATAACATAAATAATAATCAAATCAATAAAGTAATAATACAAATAAATACACTTAAACCATAAAATAGACACTCAAACACAACTAAAAAAAAAAAGGGGAAAAAAGAAAAATTACACTACCGGGTCTTCTATTAATTTTTTTTTTTCAATAAACTAAACAGTCTTCTTCCACATTTTGATTTGAGCAAATTTTAAAGATTTACAGTATAACCAAAATTCCTTTTGGAAAACTAAAAACAGTGATTTTATTTTAAGGCACTTGCATTTATGAATAAAAATATAAACTATACTACTTGCGTAAAGCTGTTTGAAATCGATGTTTCCTGTTGACGCAACTTTATGGCAGAAAAAATTTTTTTGTAAATTGGCCAGTTTTCATAGACAAGCCCTTCTTTCATTGGTATATAAGGACAATTCTTTAACTACGGGCACTTTTAAGTCCTTTGATCATATATCCAATTTTGTTAAAATTCCTCTTTCTTTGTCAAACTATCTATAAAACCTTCTTTAAAAATATTTACTACCTTTCTACTATATATTTTTTCATATTATTCAACCTCCTTTCATGTGTCAAAATTGCTGTTTTCACCTTGTCGCACACCCAGAGATTTAAACTTCAACAATGAAAATAACATTCTAAAATATTATTTATATATCTGGTGTCTATTAATGTATCTTAATTAAGCACTAGTGAAATAATTTAAATATTTTATAGTAATGAATGTGAGACTATTATCAATATTATTTTTTATACAAAATATAGCTGTCGCACAGTATCTGTGTCATTTCCAGCACAACACTGTAATGTCGCTTTAAAAAGTTTGAGTGAAAGATTATTTAGGTGGTTTCAATGAAAATGAATAGTGACATTTGAAAACATGTTCAAGAAGGAGGGAATTAAAATTTTTATCAACAACATTTGAAGAAAAATATTGCTTGATAAGAAAATACATTTATTCTACATAATTTCCAAACATGCTGTACCATCAAAGAAGTTTTTAAAAACCAAACAAAATTAAGGTCAATAAGAGTGTTTTGTATACATGAAAGGCTAATATCAATACAAAGCTAATCGATGAAGCTATTTTTAAATTTTTTTTTTTTGATACTACCTGAAAACTGAGAGGATTCATTAGCGCACCTCAGCATAATTACCTGCACGCTGATGATCAAAACAACAGAGACACTTTAAGGAGACTGATATAACTGCACTGCATATATACTACACTACCTTTTTTTGTATAACACAATTACAATAAGGCCAAATTCGAATAACAACTTTCATCTACATTTATAGAACATAACATAAATAATAATCAAATCAATAAAATAACAATACAAATAAATACACTTAAACCATAAAATAGACACTCAAACACAACTAAAAAAGGGGAAAAAAGAAAAATTATACTACCGGGTCTTCTATAAAAAAAATTTTTTCAATAAACTAAACAGTCTTCTTCCACATTTTGATTTGAGCAAATTTTAAAGATTTACAGTATAACCAAAAATATTTTTTTTTTTTCATATTTAACCTCCTTTCAGGTGTCAAAATTTCATTTTTTCACAATAAACTGTTAAAATGTCATTTCCACCACTGTCATTTTCATCACCACACACATTTAAAAAAAATATTTAACAAGTTCTCATCACACATTAAAACTGTATTCACAATAAGTTCATGCTTAATTTAATATACAAATTCAGTTTATTTATTTTCTAATAAGCTCTTAACCAAATTAACATTAAATTTTAGAGTGTGCAGGGTGTACAATTCAGCATACAACTAATTTATTTCATTGACAAATGTGTAACTATTATATATGCGTTGTGGAAAGATTTTGTTTGACTGCCATCATTTATTTCATTTTGAAATATAAGCTGTATATTGAGATGTGGTGGAATTGATATTTGTTAAGTTCACGATGGAAAAATGTTTTTATTATCTAAGTTTGTCCTTTTAAAGATCTTAGACAAATTCTTTAAACTTATGAGGCTGTTACTTTAATTTTGAACAAGTTTTTTAACTCAACTTCACTAGGCTAAAAGTGCCCATAGTTGAAGAATGGCCCATAAAAACAAATTTTCATCCCACAGTTATTTCATATGGAATAACAAGGATGTTTTATTTAAAAACTATTTAAATATTTAAATATTAATTTGATCAGAATTGGTTCAATAAAATTATTCTGTTAGTGAGGCAGTTCATTAACTCTCATGGATATTTGTCATCTTATACTGAATTTCTTAACAAATTTAAATTACCAGTTACCCGAGAGAATTCGCTATTGTTTAGGATGCAATTCCAAAGGGTTTTGCTTTTAAAGAACTGTATTTAAGAAGGGATTAGGTAATCCTTGTGAAAACATTTTTACTGAAAATATTGATATTTTAAAACAACAGTGTAACAATAAGGTTATAAGGAATGTTACCTGTTCGCTGTCTCTACCTACAGCCAGATATTTTTGGCTTTCATTATTTGATCAAATTTTGGGGGTTAAAACTTGGAAGTTGACAAATAATTTTTGCATAAATAACAAAATTAAAGAAGTGTCGTACAAAATACTCCATAGAATTTGTCCTGCTCAACATGTTTTGGAAAGAATCAAGCTTGAAATTTGTGAATTTTGTGATCAAGAAAAGAAACAGTTTTGCATCTTTTTTTATTCATTGTATTTACTCAAGAATATTTTGGAAAGATTTGGAATTGTTTATAAACAAAAAATAATAAAGCATAAAATAGAAATTTGTTTATTTTATGTACTGTTTTATTCTAACAATGAAAACTTGAAATGTAAAGGACAACATATTTTTAATTTGTTTATGTTGTTAGAAAAAAGTGGGCTCAATGTAAAACAAACTTTTCCCATTTTGTGAATGACTTCAAAATATATGTAAATCATTTAGAACAATCACAAACAAAAAAGCACCGAAAACGCAATGCTCTGAAAACATTTAATTTTATTTAAATGTATTTTTAACTATTTTTCAAATATTTTTCTCTTTTAGAAAACCATGTAAAATGTAATCAATCATAGACAATGTTTACGGTGCATTTACACCCCTATGACCGGCAGGTATCGCCAGATACATATTAATAGATAGAAGGAATTTTTAGTATAGTTATAACCAGAAACAATATCCCTAATCTTCGTTTTTACACTTACCATACACATCTTTCTTTCGTCTATAATAGTTATTCTTATTTTAGACCATTTTTGATAATAGGCTACTGTACGACTCCTTATATTTACACTTATGTGCATGAAAAATATCTTATTGAAACATAAGCGCCAAAAGAAGCCTCCTTCAAATGTAATATCAGTAACCACATCTAACCAAATCAACTATCTTAGCAGGATGAGGGGGGCGGCGGTCCTGCGGAGGGCTGCGGTCACATGACGCAGTGACGTCGTTGCCGGAAGCAGCCTCGTTCTGGCCGTCAGGGCAACACCTAGAAAAAAAAAATACATCCCCGACGACGCGCCTGAAGCCCCTAACATGGGCGAATTTTAACACTAAAAACCGACTCATTTTTGCACCTTACCCTATAACACTACACAAGGAATCCTTTCGGTTGCGATTAAGCTCGTTTTGACGGTCGTTTGAGCCATGTCTCGGGGCGCGATGCAGCCGAGCCAGCAGAAGCTGGCGGAGAAATTGACGATCCTCAACGACCGCGGCATCGGGATGCTCACTCGCATCTACAACATCAAAAAGGTGAGAATTTGCGCTTCATGCATGTGTGTTTCAGACGACTGCAGTTACCGCACACAGACACACACACACACACACACACACTGGGTTGATGAGGCCAGGCCCTGATTGAATGCGTGCGTGTGTGTGCGCGCTATACAGCCATAAATCACTGTTTACGTTGTGTAGTGCATTACCGGCTCATTCGATTGAGATTTAAAACAGGTTAGCGAGTTAAAGCGAACAAGGGTCGATTTAACCATAAATATAACAATGATGGAGGATTGTAATGGTGCTAGGAGGATGATGATGATGATGATGGCTAATGTCCTAGTTTTACATTCTTCGATCTAAAGCAGCTTTCAAGCTATACATGTATATACTGGAACTGGGTACTCGAATTTGAGTACACAAAGCAGTGTTTGCTGTGAACATTTGTGTCCAGTCTAGAATCTTACCGTGACCCAGCTTTTGAAGCCTTTATTATATCCCATCTATAAAGGAGGATAATTCAATACAGACATCTCAGCACTGAAAGCTGCAGTTTCTACAAAGATCTAATTGTGGATAGTTGACAGTCCTGGTTAGATTGGATCCGTAAGCTTGATATCCTTGTGGGTGTGTTTAAAATACCAAGTCCTTTCTCTCCTTGAGCTGTCAAATACCTGAAATCCAGAGTATGTTTGACAGATGTCAGTTTTGCAGGATTCTGAAGAGGGTCTACTGGTGGGTTTTGTAGCTTTGGACTGCAGTATTGTATTTCCATAATTTCATTATTGAAAATGGTGTGAATTTTGCAAAGCTTTAATCAGAAGTTGAGATATCTGTAAGTTATAAATTAGAGAAACAAGATGGTTGAAGCCTGTCTTGAAATTAAATTCTAGGTCAAGAACATGTCTGGGTCAAATATTGCCCCAAAATACAACTGTATTTATTTTTTCTTTAACTAAGAGTCTCTATATATGCTTGAAATTCAAATAATTTTGTTGATTAATTTGTTTGTCCACACCTAACAAATTTGTTGCAATTAAAATAATTACTTGAGGATTCTTTTACACTATAAAAGAGTTAGATAGATAGATAGATAGATAGATAGTTGGCAGTATATTTTATGCAACATTTAA